AAATCTCTGTAAATGTTTATGAAAATTAATAAAATATAATTATAGAAAAAAATACATTGTTTTTCAAACAAGATCTTTACCATTTCCTTCACCCCACACGCACATCCAATTGTGTGATCCTGTGTTTAACATCCCCCTCCCCCACCCATCCTCACCCCTCTGCTTCCACCCTCCCCCACCTGACATCCTCACACTCCTTCTACAGTAATGGTTTTATACAGTATTTGTCCTTAAGGGATGGAGTTAGTTCACTCAGCATAACGCTCTCCAGTCCCTCCCAAGTTAGGTAGTAATTTACAAAATCATTGCTCCTGCATGCTACGAGCTGTGTAGTATTCCATTGTGAAAATGTACCACAACTTCTCAATCCATGAAGTCTCTGGACTCCATGAAGACATGGAGTCTTCTTGTATCAGAATCGACTTGCTGGCAACTGATCTCATACAAAGAGCCCTGGTGTAATAGTGTGTTAACATAAAAAAAGCTACCTGCTGTCCCTTGGGAGAAAGCTTGACCATCTCCTCCCACAAAGATCAACAGCATCAGAAATCTGACAGGGCACCGCTGAAAGGTGATGGCCCTGAGGTTTTGGGCGGGTGGAAGAGGGCCCCAGGAATGCCGGGTATGCCAAATTGAAGTAAAATTCTCTGTGATAAACACTCAAGTTTGTCCAAGTAGTGGGTAATCTGTGCATCCTGAGAAGAGATTGGAGAGGGCTTCACAGAGGAGGTGACTTTGGTATTAAACACCGTAGGATGAGTAGGAGTTTGCAAGGAGGGAAGGGAGGGGAAGGGCGCTCCGGGCTCGTAACTGCATTGCTAAGGCTGAGAGGCACAGCCCGAGTGCGGTGTGTTTATGACAGGCATTGGAGATGAAGCCGGAGTGGGTAGGATCATGAACATGGGTGGGTAGGATCTTGAACATGGGCTCTTGACCTGGAGGAAAAGCTGGTGCTCAGGGCCTGCTCTTATGAGAACGTGGTGGTTCCAGGTATGACAAACTCATCTTCCTGCACCCTCCATCCCCAAAACTACAAAAGGATCAGACCAGAAATTGTTTGAATGTGAAAAATAAACTCTTTTATTTCAGTGCTGGTTCCTGGAGGCTCAAAAGCATATCTACTCTGTTGTCTGCTTAAAACCCAAAAGCTTGTATAAAAACTGTAGAGAAATAGAGCTGTATTTATATAGAACATACACACATCGGCTCATTTCATTTATCTCTGTGAAAAGCAGAAAGTTCTAGCTACATCAGTGTGACGTTCCCCTTGACTGAGTCTCTAAGTCCTTGCCACCCCGTCCCCATCTCTCACCGCCTTCCCTAGTCCCGGTGTAGAATTTCTCCTTCTCTTTCTATGGGAGGGAGGCCCACTCATTTGGAGGGGACTGGAGATAATAGAGATGACACAGACTACTTAAATCTATCAGTCAAGGGCTGGGCTTGAGGGTCCTGCAGTGAGGGAGTAGCCCAGCAGTGAGCTAGCGGCTACAGCTCTGCTGGTGTGACAACAGGCGTGTGGCAGGAAGGTCATGAGGAAGGAGCTAGAAGTGACATCTGGTGCCAGACTCGGAAAGGACACAAGTTGGGGACCAGGACAGGCCTGGTGGTCACAGTCACAACTGAACTCTCAGAAGCATCCTGGACTGTTGCACAAGTCTTTGTGGGACCAGAGAGCCAGACTCTTGGTTATTTGCCAGCCTGGGTAGCATGAAGGCTTCAGAAGTGCGGAGGGGAGAGGGCTCAGAGAGACAAGCTGGTCCAGTCTCTGATCAGCAAGGAGACCAAGTCCTGAGAGGGGAAGGCACAGGCTTGGGTTCATAAGGCTAGATTTGGGGTTCAGAAACAGCACTCTGACCCTCAACCCCTCCAACCAGTTCCACGCCTCCTCACTCCAGCCAGAGCCTCTTGGATCAGGTCTCTCTGCCCTTCAGGGCTGGCATCCTGAACACGACACTGGACTTGGAGTCGGAAGGCCTGGCTGGGCTCTGTCCTCGTACCTTCACATTACCCAGCCCTCAGGGTTGAGAATGGGCCACCTTGTCTTTCCTCATCGGGACGAAAGCTCCTTACTCGGCAGCTTCCCTTAAGGATTGGACGGGTCAGCGGCTGTGTGAGCACCATTGAGCCCAGAAGTGCCTGGCACCTAGTAGGCACCTCCCAGTAGTGAGATGAGCAGGGTATATAGTTGGACCAGGGCTGTGGAGACGTGGGGAGGAGCTTGGGCTTGATCTATTCCTATACCCCCTCCTCACCTCCACTTGGCATTGGCTTTCCCAGGGCCCCTGGGCCTTGGGGACAATCTGGAAAAGGGTTACAAGCACTCTGGGGGTCCCTTGATCTAGCCAATGGGCACGTTCCCCTTTTACTTTCCTTTTCAACTACTCCCAGAGACTCGCGTAGATCAAGCAAGATGGTGGCTGGTTAATGGTTTTCTCCCAGCATCTGGGCTAGACAGAGAGGCAGGAACTCCTTCCCTGCACCCCCTTCTACCAGCCAACCAAGGCCAGATATCCCACTGTTGTAACCAGAACATTCTTCACGGTTAAGGGAGGTGGGGAGCCAGGCTCGGGGCGGGGAGTGAGTTGGGTCAGAAGTGCATTCCGTTTCAAAGGGCCTCCAATAGTAGGCACTTGGATTGTGGGGCCCAGTGGGGATAGAATTTGCTCACTAGCTTGGGATAAATGTTGGGGAGAAGTACAGGGCTTTCAGCAGGCTGAGGAGGGCTGGCCCAGGAGCCCCTTAAGAGGGGCCGATGATAACATTCCGGTAACCCTTCACCGCCTTGAGCTTGTCGCTCTCGAAGTCCACCACCAGCTTGTAACGGCCCATGTAGAGGGGCAGCAGGTCCACCCGCGCCTTGGCTTGCTCCCCTGGCCCCACAGGGTCCGAGCTGCAGGAAGAGATGAGAGGTGAGGACAGGGCCCAGGCTCATGGATCCTAAGAACTCAGCATATGACTGGACAATAATGATGGTGATAAAATGGGCCTGTTTCCCACCTTGGGGGCCTGGGCAACCTGTCCTCCTAATGTAGAGGGTCCATATGTGCCCAGAAGTGGGATCAGAGAGGGAATGGCCAGGTGGCCACAGTTGTATAATTGTATTAGCTGTGCACACTCAATATTTGCACACTTTAGTGTATATTATGAAACTATGTGTGCCATAAAAATGTTTAAGAATGTAAGTGCCTATGTCTACATGTATGTATGTAAATACACGCTCGTGAGGATACACCCACATATGTACAGGTGTGTACTTGCCCATGTGTAGACATCTGGGATGTACATGCCTGTGTCATGTGATGGTGCTTAGTGATAGAATATGCAAATACTGAGTTTGTGAAGACACAGTCGTGGTTTTCTCTGCTGTGCTGTGGATGTTGAACGAGGCTGTGAGGGTGGGAACGGTGCGCCAAGCGTATCTATCTGAGCGGACCCAGGCTGGATCAGTGGGTATGTGCGTGTGTCTTACAGAGATGGAGAGGAGGGCCAGCAGTTCCTGGGGGCAGTCCCCCCAGATAGTGTTACCCCTTCTGCCAGCACTTACATCTCCGCGGTCTTCTGCTCTTCAGTCAGGCCGGCGCCCTCCACGGTGAAGGCACAGCCTGACAGGGGCACTGTCAGTGGATTCTGCAGCGACACCTCGGCCACCAGCTTGCGCCTCTGCTTGGGCTCACCCAGGATCTGGAAGACAGCACGGGGCCGATGTCAGACACAGCAGTGAGGGGGCCAACTGGGCCATTTCAGTAGCTGCTGCAGTTTGGGTCAATATTTGCTTAACAGCCGTGTTCATTGCTACCACTAGTGCTCCCTGCCTCAGTTTCCTCATCTTACAAAACACGGGTAAAATGCTTCCCTAAGTCTCCTTCTTGGGGCTCCATGTGACTCAGGGGTGAACAGGGTGCTTCCCCATATGCTCCAGGGTTTGGAGTGGAGAGATTATGAGTTTTGGAGAATGGCTGGCCCCTGTTCCTTCCTCATTATGTGACCCTGAGAAAATGATTCCCCCTCTGAGTCTGAATGCAATAGAGAGATGGCTTTTACATGGACTTGCTCAAATGGTTTTGTGAGTCAACCAAATGACTGGATGAGATAATGCAAATGAAGTCACTGTGGCCCACCATGGGGATTGGACAGCTAGCTAATAAGCAAATAAAGTGCATGACACCTTTGTGGGGATGGGACCATGAAAATAAGGTGAATGCAACCGTAACAAAGGATTGGTGGGTTTTGTTATCCACTGCGCTTAAGAGACGGAGCTCTGGTGGGGTAGTCCATAGTGAGTTAAGCCAAAAGGCTGCAGACTCTGGAGGTCTGAGTCTACCAACAACTCTGTAAGAAAAAAGATGGGCAGTCTCCTCCCATGATGATTTACAGCCTTGAAAACTCAACAGAGGGTTATTATTAATTAGAACTGACTCGATAGCAATGAATTTGAGGCTTAAAAGACAGCCAATCCTAGAACAGAAGGGGAAACTCACTCCTACTAAGGAAGAAGGCCTGGGTTAGAGTTTGATTCTTTGGATCCAAAATCCCTGTCCTGAGAACCTCCTAGACACATAAGACACAGAAAGTGTGAGAGAGAGAGAGAGATGGAGAAAGGAAGAAGTGGGGGTGGGGAGAAGCAATACCAGAGGAATGATGAGAAGCAGAACAGGAAATGCTGGTAGCAAATACAGAAGAGCAGGAGGGGACAGCTCAGTGGGCTTCCTAGCCTACAGAGAGAAAGCTGAGCATTTTCAGGCTGAGACTTATGGTGAAGTTGGCTGCTGCTGGGTGCTTATCAGGGGAGGTAAAGGGTGTTGTAACACTTGCCCAAGCAGCAAGGGAGGATTAGCCAGCAAGCACTGTATACACAGGCTTGCACTGAGCAAGGTATGCACACACTTCATGTTTACTTGCTAATCTACGATGGGGCGATTTCAGCACATTTTTTTGGCATGGTGGGGAACAAGAGAAATTGTGTGCTTGGAAGTTGGTGGGAATCCACAGTGGGTCCCACATATAACTTGCGTATTGTGTAATCTGGCCTTGCTGACCCTGCCAAGCAGCTTGAGCCAGGGAGAAGCCTGCTCATGAGTACGGCCAAGATGCTGTCTTGACTGAAGAACTATTTATCGGAGTCATTCCTGGTCCCGAATTGTAACCTGTCACTTCTCTAGCAAACCTCACAATCTGAGTTCTGTCTGTGAGTTCTGTGTGGTCACTGCTACGAATTGTCAAACCTAGCAGAGAAGCAGACAGTACCAGGGAGGGATGGATGGTGCCAGAGTTGATAGAAGTTGGTGGGAGAAGTATGTCTGACATCCACCTCATAGTCATCAGCTTTGGCTGTTGATCTTGATTCTCCTTCCCCTCGTGAAGGTAGAAGGGGTTAGATACTATCTGCCACATCATTTTTACACTGGTATGTTTTTCCATATGAAAGAAATGCCTGAACCCAGAATTCTCATAAGGATTAGCTGAGCTCACAGGCAGGCTCCTAGCAGTGCTTGAACATGGCAGGTACTCAGAGTGCTCCCTGCCTCCCCCTCTGCCGCTGACCAGTTATTTGCAATGCTGCACTTGGGGTTACGGGGCTGTGGATCCACTTAGTGAACTGACAGGACGATGACAGTGATGACAAGAATCACTTTTTGTTGAGTTCTTATATTATGCCAGAATGATTCTTCTTAGTGCTTCCCACGGATGAATTTTCAGTCCTTATAAAACTACAGATACTAGTATGGACCCATTTTACAGATTAATAAACTGAGGCACAGAGAGGCCAAGTAATGCACCCCGGGGCATCCAAGTACATACATACCCAGGCAGTCTGATTCTAAAGCCTGAACCCTTCACCCCTGCTCTCCCACCCCATCTTATCAAGAGCACTGGAGCCTGGGTCTTAGCCTTAGGAGTTCAGCATTTTGTGGGTTCTTGGAGTAATATTCATCCACCTGCCGCAAGGATGCATGGTTCTACCAATCTAGGATTCTTTTAACTTTATGACGCCTTTTTTTGATGAGCCTAGGATTTGGGACTCAAGGCTCCAAAAGTCTGGAGGGTAGAGGGGTACATGCGTGTGCTTTCCCAGGGGGGCTGCCCTCTCGCTCCATCTCTGGGCTGTGAAGAGACTCAGCCCCCACCCCCTGCCCAACCCACCCCTTACCCGGATCTTGATTTCTGGATTCTCCAGGTAGATGTCCCTCTCAGCCAGCAGGTAGCTGTTGGTGGCTGGCTCAACCAGGAGGCCTCGCACCTTGATAAGGTTGGTCTCGGTCAGGCACTCACAGTACTTCTCGTAGAGGATGTGAAGAGGAATGCTCTTCTCTGCAGAAGAGACAGAGGGAGGCTGTGACGGCTGAATTGTCATCCCTGCCCTCACCTCTCTTGCCCCTCACATGGTGGGTGAACAGCTGGACAGGACCTAGACCTTCCTCCACCTGCCCAAGCCCACAGGCTCTCAATGGAGGAGCTGGACAAGGAGAGGTAAGACCGGAAGACAGTGTGTGGAGCAGTTGAACTCCAGCAGACCAGGGTTCTAATCCTGATTCTGTTTCTTGCTGGCTGGTGACTTAGTGCAAGTCACTCCACCTCTCGGGACCGGTTGAGTCTGCTCACAGGTGAAAACGTATTCCAGGGAAGGGTACTCATCCGGCTGCAGAGAACATTAGCAGGTGGTGGGAAAGTGTCGGGCACACACTTGCCCTGTAACAGCTGCTGGAGGAGAGCGGAGCTGTGCTGCGCTGCTGTGCCAGGCATTGCGCTTGGCACACGCTTTCCTGCTTCACCTCTGGAACAACCCTGGGAGGGGTGTACGTGATGGCTCAGGTTCACAGGGGCGGAAGCAGAGGCTCTGCTAGGTGAGCCAACATCGCCCCGGGCCAGGCAGGTCGTCTGAGCTGTGCAGGCATTTGCACAAACAATGCAGAGCCAGAGTGAGACGGCATAGCCTGCGCTCACTAAAGAGTCCATCTCTGAAGGGAGCTCTGGTGGCCTAGTGGCAAGATGCTGCACTGCAATCCCAGAGGTATGCGGTTCAAATCCACCAGATGCTCTGCTGGAGAAGGGGGGGCAAGCTCCTCCTGTACCAGTCAGATCTGATTTGACGGTACACATAAAAATAATACAATAAAAAATTTTAAAAAAAAGAGTCCATCTCTGGACATCCCCTCACTTTCCCATGTGGTCTGCAAGATTGTGTCCGTTTTACAGAGGAAGAAATGCATTCTACCCCTCCATGGCCACGTGGTGGGCTGTGTGCACGTGGGTAGATGATCTGCCCTCTCTGTTACCACAGGCAACCAGTTCAGCTTAGTTCTGTTCTGTTGCGCAGAACTAAGCTCAGAGATCATTTCAGAACAAAAGCTGCACAGTTGACGACGGAATGGCGAGAAGTCAGGAGGGCCAACTTTTCTGAATGCAGAGAAGTGTGGAGTTTTGGCCCATTTTTCTGACGAGAACACTGAGACTCAAGTGCATCATAGGACTGCTTGTAAGAGACGGGAAGGAGCAATGAAAAGACCACTGGACTGAGAGTGTGCAGGCCTGAGCCTGGGTCCTGCTTTTTACTAACAGAGAACCCAGGGCCTCCCCTGGAGCCTTCTGTGGGTTCCCAGCCAATCTCGCCTCATCCTTCAGATGCAGAGGCCAGCACCCTGACAGGAAATGCTGTTACCTCATTTTCCGTCTTCTGTGCCCCTTCACCCACTAGATCAGAGTTTCCCAAACTCGAGCCATTCACATGATGTTTTTTTTGCATCCTCACTATCTGCTCATGATTTTTCTTTAAATTGATTAAACATCTTATCAAAACCCAGAAGGTTAAAAACAAAACAAAACAAAAACCAGAAGGTTGTCACAGTTAGGTGACATGGAGTTGATTTTCAACTCAAAGCGATCCCATGTGACAGGGTGGAACTCGTAGTGACCTCATGTGACAGTGTGGATGACCCTATGTGACACGGCAGAATTGCCCCTGGGGTTTCCTAGGCCGTAATAGTCACAGGGCCAGATGACCAGGTGTTCCTCTCTTGCAGACTTGCTGGTGGGTTTGAACCGACAATCTTTTGATTAGCAGCTGCGCACTGACATATTTTCACATACAACACGCCCACGGAAAAGAATGCAAATACGTAACACACACAGCATCCAGGAAATTAATGTGTCAAGGGATGGTGTAGTTTGCAAAGACGTATAACATACGCATTATTTGCATAAAAATACGTATCCATGTGTCCATGGGGCTCCTTAACAGGAACTAACCAGTACAAAGAAATACAAGTAAACAGCATCCTGTTATTGACTTGTGACTAGATACACTGTCTGTCTGCTTGTGACCTAAATGTACCATTAAGGGAGAGATTAGCAAGAGTCAGGGATGTTAACGACCAAATTAGCCCCCAGCTGAGCCTTTCTCTTCAAAGTCATCTGAAGACCTTGATTAAGCTCTTCCAAGTGAGCTACTTGGTCAATGTGTGATTCAAGGCTTAGAACCCACTGTGCACACTGGGGGTCCTCGCCCCACTCTCTGGACAATGCTGACCCCATCCAGCCCTTTGGCCTTTTCAGGGTGGATTGGCCCCTGATTAGATGCTGTGAGGGACAGAAAACCCAGGCTTTTGCTAAAGTAGACAAATCGGAGTGGCCCCGAGGGAGCTATGTGGCAACTGACCAGCTCCCCAGCAAATAAGGAAAACACCGTCCTGCAGGAGTTTTCAGGATGTGACTCCCCCGCCCTCACCCCATCACAGGAGGTCAAGGCTAGGGAGAAGCCTGGCCTCTTGAAAGCTGTCATCCGCCAGCCACAGATCATGGTCTTGGCCTTGGGCTAGACCCTGACTGGGAAAAGGGATTGTGTGCAATCTGTTTCAAACACTACTTAGAATGCTCTGGAAGGTTTCTTCCCTGTTCCAGAAGGTTCCCTGGGGATGTCACCAAGGCCATGCTGGTTGCATTTCCAGTGAGCCATTTGGTGAGGAGAAGGAGGGCAGCAAAGAGAGGGTGGGGGCAGGAAGAGGAGGAGAGGGAGCCGCTGAGCAAGGAGGCGGGGTGGAGGGCAAATGGATGCTGTTCAGGTCTCCCAGGCCTTGCTTCCTGTCCACCAGCACATGGAAACCCCCCAGATCTTATCATCAAATCTACCAACATATGAAAGGCTCTACCGGGGTCATGACACTGGAGATTCCAATACACCATCTTGGACTAGCTCCTCCTAGAAGCTGGTGGAAACACATGGGCCCCCTTTTCTCTTCACCAGGCTGGACCCTGCTGCCCCCCAACCCCCAATAGACACATGCAGCAGGAGGAACCCGCTTTGTGTGGACACGTCCGCTAGGATGATGAGAAGAATGGATAGGCTTGGCTGGAACCACTGCAGAACCCTGCCCCGGGCTGTCCCGACCGTATCTGGAAGGTACCGGGTGACTGAGAGGCCAGGAAGTTATCTGGCATGGCCTCTGGCCCAGGCTTGGAAGTCACCTTGTGCCTGGAATCCCAGGAAAGATGCTTCCTTCCCCTAGCGTGGTTCTGCACATGAGGAGGAGCGGATATGCATTTAGACAAAAGGGCTGGGAGGGCCCTTAAAAGATGAAGCCACCAGGCCACAGGTGGGGAGCCTGAGTCCTGGCGTGAAGAGCGGATATTCCCAGGAGCCCACAGCCCTGGCTGAGTGACAGCGACTGGAGCATGGCATCCTGACCGCCCCACTTCTGACAGCATGAGCTCGGTCCTGACTGCCTGGAGAGCTGCCCCTCACTTGCCCCATGTCCTTTCTTGCTCTGGGTCTCCGCTGAGCTCTTGCTGCCACTGGGCCTCACGGGTTATATGATGATACGATGAAGTAAAGTAGGACAGTTGCTAAGAGTTATTGTTGTTGTGCACCTGGTCTCAGGTCTCAACAGTTACGACTGTGAGTCAGGTTGGAACTGACTCATGGCTGACCCTCCGGCAGGTTTTCAGAGGCAGTAAATCACATGCGAGGAGACTGCCCATCTTTATTCTAAGAAGTGGCTGGTGAATTCGAACAGCGTGCCTTTGGGTGAGCAGCACAGCTCCTTACCACTAAGCCACCAGAGCGCCCTAGCTACTAAGAGTGTTATTGTGTGCCATCGAGTCATAACCGACTCATAGCTGATCCTCTAGTGAGTTTTCAGAGGCAGAAAATCTCATAGGAAGAGAACTGCCCATCCTTTTCCCACGGAGCAGGTAGCTGGTGGACTGGACTGCGTGCCTTTGCGATTGCAGCACAGCTTCTTACCACCAGGCCACCCGAGCTCCCTCGCTGCTAAGAGTACAGAGTCAAATCTCAGCTCTGGGACTTACTGGGTATGTAAGTCAACTTGGGTAAGTAACTTAATCTCTGTGCCTTAGTCTTCTTATCTGGAAAATGGGATTGATTCTGCTGTCAGAGACCTCTCCAAAGTACTGAAGAGCAATGATGCCAGTCTGAAGACTAAAGTAGGCCTGATACAGGCTACGGTCTTTGCAATTACTTGCTATGCATCAGAAAGCTGGATAATGACTAGGGATGACAGAAGGAGAATTAATACCTTTGAGCTGTGGTGCTGGAGAAGAGTATTGAATATACCATGGACTGCTTAGAGAACAAACAAGTTTATCCCGGAGAGGGTGAAGCCAGGCTGCTCCTTGGAGGCAAGGATTCTGAAGCTTTCTCTGACATACTTTGGACGTGTTACAAGGCGGGATCAGTCCTTGGAGAGGGAGGTCATACTTGGGAGGGTGGAGGGACAGCGCAGGAGAAGAAGACCCTTGATGAGATGGATTGATTCAGTGACAGGGGTAATGAGGTAGGTGTGTCGGAGACAATAAGATTGGCATAGGATAGAAAAGGGTTTAGGACTATTGTACATAGGGTCACTATGAGTTGCAGGTGACTCAACAGCATATAATAACAACATTGGTTATAAGGATTAAAACTCCATGTGGTAATAGTAGTTAATGATAATAATGTTGTTATAGATCATTGAGTCAAAACCGACTCATAGCTAGTTTTCACAGGAAGTAAGTCATATGGGAGACAATTGCCCATCTTTCTCCCTTCAAACATCTAATAGATTCAGATTGGCAGTGCAACTCCTCACCAACGGGGCTATGAGAGCTCCCAAGAAGGAATAACTGAGTCAATGTTCTCTATGTACTTAGAACAGGGTGTCAATCAGAGCAAGCACAATGTAGATATGTAGTCTGTAAAGTACACATACTCAGGCCAATCACCAAGAGACCCAGGAACGCAGGGCCTTACCCGAGAAAGGCTCCAGCGTAAGGTCCAGCAGTTGCAGGGTGCCGCACTCAGGTCCCAGGACCCCGTTGTAGCTGACGGTGCGGGCACAGAGCAGGAGGCTGCAGATGTGGTTCTCGGATGTGTTGTTGGTGATGTGGCTGAAGACGTCAAAGTCACTGCCCATGTTCATGTTCTGGCCTGCACGGATCCTCATGGCCAATCCTGTCTCTTCCTTCTCCGCCAGCTTATTCAGGTGGTTGGCCCTGGTGAAGGCTGCCCTCTCCTCAGCAGACCCTGTGGGGACAGCGAAGAGACCCTTATCGGGGCTGGATGAGGATTAGAGGGACGGAGGATGGGCAGCAGGCTGGCTTTTGAGGCCTGGTGTCTCAGAGCCGCCCGGGAGATGTCCTGATTCACTGCAACCCTCCACTGTGTTGCCGAGGCTGTAGATAGTAATGGGAACAGTCCGCCCATCTTTCCCCTGCAGCTTGCTCCTTACAGAAGAAAGATGCCCCCTCTTTGTGTCTGGCCAAACTGATCATAACATACTACCTTTTAGTTTGTCTCAGTCCTTTTCTCTTAAATTTAACCTCTGGGGAGCTCTGGTGGCCTAGTGGCACTACAATTCCAGAGGTACACGGTTCGAATCCATCAGATGCTCTGCCGGGGAAGGAGGGACAATCTCTTCCTGTACCAGTCAGATCTGATTTGATGGTACACGAACACAAAATAATAAAATTTTAAAAAAGTGTTAAATTTAACCTCGTCCACACTACCGCCAGGCTCACACCACCATTAATTAAAAAAATAAATACTACAAAGTCCCAGAACCTTCTCCACTGTGGCTTCTGCACGTTCAAGCATCTTTAGTGTGATATGTTACCCCAAAATGGGAAAAGAATGAAAAACATGGACTTCCCATCTGTATAGTTGTAGGTCTCACTACTGATAATAAAATCCTGGGTTAATAACTGATAATCAATCCCATGTTAATAAGCAGTGTGAACCGTGTTGATTTTCTGTCATAATCCATGCCTCTGTCTTGTAATAGTTACACCCTTCCATCCTATTAAGTGTTTAGCCAACCGAAAAGTCAGGCTTCGAAGAAGATTTGAATCCTTTTGTGGAATCTAGAATTCTTGTCCTAAGTTATCCTGAGCGTGGCTTCGTACTTGATGCTAAGGGATTGGTAACAATGGGCTGTGGCCTACAGGTCAGCGCTGCACAAGGACTGCTAAGTGGTCACCCTCCATGCCACTGAGCTGGTAAAGTGACACTGCTCTTGCTTGGCCACGGGAGGGCCCCCGGGGGAGCAGGGTGCCCACCGTCTGTGCCACTGGGCTGGTAAAGTGGCACTGCTCTGCCTGACCACGGGAGGGCCCCCGGGAGCAGGGTGCTCACCTTCTGGGTACTTGTAAGTGTGGGTGATGTCCTCGCGCTCGTCTCGGCCCACGCTCTTGGTGCTGATCTTCAGCCCCACGGTCAGCGAGTTGTTGATTGACTTCTGCATGGACCCATCCTCCTGCTGGATCCAGTCCACCACGTCGGCATTGACCTCGGCAAAGACGAAAGGCGCGTCGTACTTGGTACTCAGGTCGCCCTCCTTGATGGCACGGACGGGGACCGGCCCGCAGCAGTATGTCCCTGGTTATGGGTGAGAAAATGGGAGATGAGCTGGGGCTTGGAGGAGGGGTCCTTCCACGACCCTCTACAAGTCACCTGCATGCAATAAAAAAAAAAATAATAATAAATCAAGACCACGCAGCAACTTCATCCAGTGAGTCCATTCCTTGGGGGCAGCATAGGGGTAAAAGATAAGAATGGGGACAAGTTTCAGAGTTCAAATCCAAGCCTAACCTCGTATTAGCTGTGTGTTCTTGGACTAGTTATTTAACCTTGCTGAGCTTTTGTTTTATGTGGAGACCATATTTGTTTTGTACTTAACCAAATGAGTGGTATATGTACTGTGTATAACTTGATAGAAGTCAACCCTCATTGTTGTTGTCAAATCACACTGACTGTTACAGAGGTTTTCAGTCACATGAGAGGAGATTTCCCATCTTTCTGTAACAGAGGGGCTCACAGATTCGAGCCTTGGGCAAGTTACTTAGCCTCTCTGAACCTCTGCTTCCTGTGGGAATCATGGCTGTACTAACCCGATTAGAGAGCTCTTGTGGCCTCGTGGGTAAGGATTTGAGCTGTCAATGCAAAGGCTGGTGATTCAAATCCGCCAGGTGCTCTGAGGGAGAGCAACAGACATTTTCCTTCCATGCAGTTTATAGCCTCTGAAAACCAGCTGGAGGGCCTGCTAGGAGTCAGTTCTGACTGGAGGTCAGTGAGTTTTTAATGATGATTCGTGAGTGGTATACATAAAGCTCTCATCATATACTAAGAACTATGTACATGTCTGATAAATAAAATAGAAACGTATCCCCAAGCACCCTAAAGAAATTAGGGAGCCAAGCGGCAGGAAGTGTATTAAGAGCATATGCTTGTGTTTGTTCATTGTTCACAGAGAAACTGAAGCGGCCCCCATTGCGTGCTTGGCCTCAGGGACTGTGTACTTATTGAATGAACTTGAGCGCTGGATGTCCATCTCAGCGGGGTTGATAAATGTTCCAAACTGGCCATAAGCTTAAACACTGGTGACCAGAGGCTGGCTAGCTATGTTATATAGTGCCTTCATTTGATGGACCATGGCAACATCAAAGGAAAATCCAATCACAGAAAACCGATGGAGGAACAATAATTGAGAACTGACCAAGCAGGAGAAAGATTTTGACCAGCTGGAGTTCTTTACGTGATGTCTAAGGACCCCTCAGGGCTGGAGCTAGATTTCAGGGGACTGTGCACTTGGATGGGGAAAAAAACCCACAACTCTTATCTTTATTTTCACTGTCTTTGATAAAATGTCCAAGTTCAAACAAAGGTAGACTCAGCAGCTTGTCATTGATAAGAGCCAAGGTATTATCCCCTTAGAGTTGTCACAGATGTCTGGAAAGATCATTTATACTCCTTCCTATCAGTACTTATGGAGCTTATTAATGCTTACACTAGAAAATGAAGCAGCACAAATAATATTATTCAAATTCACTGCCATTGATGAACTCAGTGACCCTCCATCAGATTTCTGAAGCTGTAAATTATAGTAGGGAAAAGACTGCTCATCTTTCTCCAGTGGGTGGACTTGAACCATGGTCTTTGGATTATGAGTACAAAGAACACATGGTCTTTGGGTTAGGAGCACAGCACTCTGTGAACAATGCCAGGAGACTTCTTTTTCATGTCATAGATATTGAAAAACTTTTGATAATTCTAACACACTTGCCTTTCTTTGTAACCCTATGCTATGCGTTTTAAAATATTATTCTGAAAAAGGATCCAAAAATGTTTTCTCTCTCTTACATAATATATATAAAATTTATATAAACATAAACATAAATATATATTTGGAAGCAGAAGTGGCATCCACTTCCTAAACAACATGCCTTCCCTATGAACTTTGATAAATGTCGATACTTGTAGAGGGGCTTCAGGCCTTTTGTTCATAGGGTCACTAGGAGTCGTGCTCAACTCAAAGGCAATCAACAACAACAACATATATGTAATGTCATACACAAACTAGATACTATAAATCCCACTTGCCATGGTGGCCCCATGTGTGTCAGAACAGAAGAGAACTAAATTTTCAATGGCTGATTCTTCAGAAGTGGGTCAATAGGCCTTTCTTTTGAGGTGCCTGCATGTAGACTTGAACTTCCAAACTTTTGCTAAGTAGCTGGGTGTCTTAACCATCTGTACCACCCAGGGACACACACATACACACATACAGAAAGAATTACATAAGCAGACAGTTCTGGAAGCCACGCGTGAAAGTGAACAATCTTGTTTGTGGGGTGGGGAACAAAGATGCTATTTGATTTTTTTTTCTTTGTGTTTCTTCATATTTTCCAAGTTTCCCCACCATGTATGTGAATTATTTTTCAAATGATAGATGAAGTTTGTCTTATGAAAATACAAGTGACCAGTCAGTGGTCTTCAGAGTCCATCAGACCAGGTGAGAACCCCAGCTCTGCCGCTCTTGAACTGACAGACACAAACAGGGGGAGTGACTCTGAGCCTCAGTTTCCTCATCTGGATCATGGGTCCACCCCTACCCACCTTCACTCTTCTCCTGGGGTGTGGGGTCAATGGCCTGCCACCCCTCGTACCCCGGTTCCAGGTCCGGCCTGGTCATCCACGATTCTACCCAGCAGTGGAAGTTCCTGTGGGGGAAATGAGGGATATTGGCCAAAGCTCAAACTGGACTCTTTCGCTTTCACCTCTCGAAGACTGACCGTGACTTGGCCTTTCCCTGGGACTTCCCCAATCCTCTGGGGCCTTGATCTAAGCTGACCCAGCCCCTCCTCCCTCCGGCTCTGCTTTACCTCCTGTGGCCTCCTCCCTCAGTGCCCCCATGCTCACTTCTCTTTGGAAGGCATGCTTACCTCCTCTCCGGCTTCAGGTTTCAGTCCCACTGACTGTTCTCTTAATTCCTTGTCCCGTCTTTCAAGTCCACGTGCCTTGTGCTGGTTGAACCTCATCTCCCACCTGCCTCCAGACTCCTCCCTAAGCCTCACCTGCAGTCTGACTCTTACACCACACCCTTCGGTGGCAGCTTCTAGATCAAACCCAGATGCCTCAATCAGCCTTTCCAGACCCTCAACTCCTGCTGCCTTTCCCTGTCTTGCTCATTGATGTCTCTCCCCCTCGGCCTTCGCTCAGGCTGTTCCCTCTGTCTGAAAGGACCTTCCCAAGCCCTGTTTTACTCCCATTTGACTTTTAAGGCCCACGTCAAGTGTGACCTCCTCCAGGAAGCCTTTCTAGGTTTCCCCTCCAAGAGACCTTCCTGACTGAGCCCACCTCACCCTGGACCACCACCCCTCTCCCTGCACCCCACCTCACCAGATCATCTCGTTCTTGTCACCCTGGAGCTCCCCGAACTTGTTGCGGAAGTACTCGATGAGCAGGTTGCTGTTTTGGTCATGGGCTGAGTTGTAGTTGGTCACAACGCGGGTGGGGATGCCAAGGCACCGCAGCACTGGGGAGGGGGGCAGAGGACACGGTCAGGGGTCAGGGGTGGGCCCTGGAGGGAATCTGCCCCACTCAGACCTCCACATGCTCTTAGGCACCTTGGTGAGTTCTGTACCCACTGTCTAGACAATCAGGGTATGTGCCATCCCTCTTGTCTGGACAGTAGAGTCCAACTCACTGGTCATCTCATCCCCTGTCCACTCTGTCCCTGTCACTCTGTCCCTGTCATCACAGCTGCCAGTGGGAGGCTGACATGCAAATCTGACCTCAGCACTTCTGTACTAACCTTCAGTGGTCTCCCATGGCCACTGAGGGTCAAGATGAGACCCCGGTGATGAAGGTTGGTCCTCCGGCCTGGCCCTTGACCATTCCCTGCACCTCTTGCTCTGGACACATTATCCTCCTCTCAGTTCTACCACAGGACATTAGCATGTGCTCTCCCCTCTACCCCGAAGCTCATTCCAGCGCATCCAAATTGCCCGTCATCGGCACACACTGTGGATTCATCACCATTCCCCTCAGCATGGGCATGTGGGAGAGTCTTTAATTCATCCTCTGAGGGCAGTGAGGAATACGACTTCTTTTACATCCCCAGAGCCCAGCAGAGGCCTGGCACAGAGGCGTCTGTCCAAGAGGGTGAAGGAGAGAGAGAGAGAGAGAGAGAGAGAGAGAAGGAGGGAGTGACCGAATCTCTCTGAGAGAGATGAGAGTAGGCCCAGGCAGACAGAAGGGAGTCTCCTGCCACTAGAGCCTAGCTTTGCCACTTCTGGGCTGTGCAACCGGCCCAAGTTCCTTTGCCTTTCTGCGCCTTATTTCCATTTCTTTGACAGAAGTTCAACATACCCAGTTCTCAGGGAAATGAACGGCACTGTGGGAGAGAAGAGCCCTGCATCCATGCCAAAGTGCTGTTTACAGAGGGGCTGTGAGAACCGGGACAGGGCCTGATGTTGCAACCACCCGTGATGAAAAGACAAGGGACCAACTGGCTTCTGCAGACCCGTGCCAGCTCTGCACGGAAACCAGTGGGCAGAGAGGGCAGGAAACCCCCGGGGTGAGGCTGCCCCGGAGGCCGCTGTGGCATGGAATTATGGGTGCTTTTACGCCCACATGATTTTTTTTTTTAAATTGTGATTTAGGCGAAAGTTTACCAAGCACGTTGCTTTTCCACTCACCCCATTCACACACCTTTATGACTTACAGCACCCACAACGTAACCACACTCTTGCCACTTCCTGCCTACGGTTTTGGTTTCCATGAATCCTGTCCTGCCCCTGCCTGCCTTTTGGGCTTTACCCCTGGGCACATGCTGCCCTATCAGTCTTATGTGGTCGCTTGCTGTCAGGGAGGAGGGCATACCTGGTGTCACCGACTTCCTTAGAGGTCTGTCTACTGACTGACTGAACGTTGAGAGCTGGGGGGGTGAGTTTTGCTCCAGGTTCAAAGAGTGACTAAGCGCCACGGTCTGAGAGGCTCCTTGTTGTCGTTGTTTAGTGCTGTGGAGTTGACTCCTAGTGACCCCAGGAACAAAAGGTCTGCCCTCTGTCCTATCCTGCACCATCCTCATCCTCTCCAACACGTCAGAGTCCCTTGCTGCAGACACTGCCTCCGTCCATCTCATCGAGGGTCCTCCTCTCCTTCACCTTCCTCTCCACCTTTCCGAGCATGATGGTTTTATCCATTCTGGTTGCACTTTCTCCAACATGATTTATTTGTTCTTTTGGCAGTACTCTTCTTTAACACCACAACTCAAATACATCAATCCTTCTTCTGTCACCTTTGTTCATTGTTTAACTCTCAGATGCATAGCAGGTGATTGCAAAGGCCGTGGCCTGGATCAGGTGCACTTTAGTCTTTGTTTGTTTTTAAATTAAAAAGATTTTTTTTTTTGCACCTTAGTCTTTAGGATGACATCATTGCTCTTCAGGACTTTGGAGAAGTTCTGACAGCTGACTTTCCCTAATGCTACAGGTCTCCTGATCTTCTGACTCTGGTACCAAGGGTATTGACTGTGGACAAGATGAAATCATTGACAATTTCAACCTCTTCTCCAAGTATCATGATGTTGCCTATTGGTCTAGTGGTGAGGACTTTTGTTTTCTCGATATTGAAGTTTGTTAGTCTCAGGCAAACCAGTAAGGCCATTTTTGGTTTTTAGTTTTGTTGCACATTTTTGTCCACTCTCTGCAGGACTTTCAAATGTGATCCTTTTAGAGTGGACAGCAGCAGTACCTTGCATAATTTCTTTTACTCTTTCTGTATTTTGTAAAAGTAACAGCTTCTCGGAATAGGACAAAGAAAGTAAATAAGCGGAAATGAAACAAAAATCCCTAGAAAACCTGGAATAACCTTTGAGACTTCCCTTTTGCTTTTAATTTTGATTGTGAGCTCCTGGGAAGGGGAGGAGGGGGAGGAAAGAGGGGAAAGGAAAGGGCCTGACCTTTGCCCTGTGCCCTTCAGTAACCAGGACAGGAGCTGCTCAATGGTCCTGGAATTTGACCAGGAGTCTAGTGGGTGCTGGGAAGGAGGAAGGGCCGTGATTTGCTGCCACCTCTTGCCTAGTTCCTGTGCCCTGAGGTCTAGAGATGGTTCAGACATGTCCCCACCACAAATAAGTAAAGGCTGGCATCCCAATCTCAGGCCTTACTCCATCATGCAGAAGCCAGAAGCTTGGGAAGAAGCAAGGCACCTCTCCTGTCCCAGGGATGGGATCCCAGAGGTGGTGTCCCAGGGATGAGGTTCCAGGAGTGGGGCCTCAGGGTTGGGGTTCCAGGGGTGAGGCCCCAGGGATAGAATCCCAGGAATGGTGTCCCAGGGATGGTGTCCTGGGGATGGGGTCTTGAGAAGCCTCATTGTCACAGTCTAAGGCCAGGAGAGGCCCCAGATCTTCACAGATCTGGCTCCAAATCTGGCCATGCCACCCACTAGCTGTGTGACCGTAGGCAAGCCACTTCCCCTCTCAGAAACCCCGTTTCCTCCAGTGTAAGAGGAGCTAAGAATATCAGCTTGTCGGGACATTGTGATGATTCAGAGAGAGGTGATGGGCGTGGGCAGAGCCTCTGTCTGCCCGTCTCTGTGGTCAGTGTCAGCTCAGGCGGGCATGAGGAGGGAGGCATTTGAGTCTGTGGGGCAGCGAGTTGTGCCATGGTGCCCAGCACCAATGCCAAGGTATCGTAATTGCCCATGCATCCTGAGAAAAGGCCCAGAGATCCACTTAAGAACGCTAGAGTCCCAGCTTCCCTCAGAAACATCAAAACGGAAAGCTAGTATGAGCCAGAGATTACATCCCTGTGATTCCTAAGAACCAGCAATTGTCTCAGTCACCATTGTCTCCATTTCACAGGTAAGGAGACTGAGGCCTGGAAAGAGTAACCTGCTTGCCCAAGCCCACCTTAGGGGGAGTTCATCTCCAGTCTATGGGCTGCTCCATGGGAACAGCACTTCTGAGGGTCTTCCATCTGATAAGCTTTCCCTGGCTCCATTACACACAGGCCTGGGTAAATCAGGTGACTCAGGCCACATTCTCTGGAATTCCTTAAAGAGAAAACCCTAGGGGTTCTCTGAGAAAATATGTGTCAAGTGTCTCGAAAGGAATAGGATGGGGAAGTTTCCACAAGACAGGGGAATTCAGAGGTCACAAGGGAACAGTCATGGACAGAGAGGTGGGGGCAGTGACCAGAGACAAGCCAGCCGGCCAGTATGGAAGACAGTGCTGGGAGCGCCCAGGGTCCTTGTAGGCCTGAGGTGTTCTGGAAAGCTTCATCATTACAAAGGTCTGGGACTCAGAAAAACAGAGCCTCTAGACCAGACTCTTAGGTTCCCTGAGCTCAGTAATAAGAATAACAATCATCACCATTATATAAGGGAGTTCTGGTAGCCAAGTGGTAAGGAGCTGTGCTGCACTCCCAAAGGCAGGCTGTTCAAATCCACCAGCTGCTCCATGGGACAAAGATGGGCAAACTCCTCCTGTGCAATTAAACTGCCTCTGAAAACCTACTGGTGGGTCAGCTATGAGTCGGTTCCAACTTGATGGTATACAACAACAACAACCAACCATTAAATAAGTATTTTCTGTTATGTGCCTGTCATCATTCAAAGGAATTCACACATATTTGCTCATTTAAACCTCACAACCATTCCAGAGTTGAAGCTCAGAGAAGTTAAGTGAGTTTTTCTCTGGGACACACAGGTGGTAAGAAGCAGAGCTTGGCTATGAACCCAGATCTTGACTCCACAGCCCATTTTCTTACGACTCAATTTTTAAAAGCACTGTTAGTGACCCTGGAACAATCCTCAGTAATTTCTGGGCTTGAATTTTCAGGGTTTTTTAAAAATACAGTTATAGCTTTAAATTGTTGTACATTTCTTCCTTAACATCTTAGAAAATCTTTTTCTTTCTTGGCATTGATTACATTCTTATTATTGTCAAGTAATTGATAGCTAAAGTTTACTGAACACTGCACTGGGTCAAGTTCTGTGCTAAGCAGCTCTACGTCACATCCTATTGTACCCATTTTATAGATAAGGAATCTGAGAGAAGAAGTCATTTACTTAAGGTCATGGAGTACGTGAGTGGCCAAGCACGAATTTTAAACTCACGTCTACCTGTCTCCAGAGATCACTCTCAATCCTTAACCCACACTGCTTCCTGAATAGCACCCTCTGATTCTAATAACTACTAACAGGAAAGGGAGACAGAGGGGAAGCTACCAGATCCAGGTCCCATAGTGGTGCTGGCAGAAGAAGCAAGACAACCACCAGGATCTCCTGACTCCCACTCCAGTGCCCTCAATGTTCTCTTCCCAGGCTCCAAAGAAGCTGGGAGCAGGCTCGAGACCCTCCCCTCATCCTGGCGCGCAACTCACCCGTGCAGGCCACGGCAGCGAAGACCCAGCACTGGCCGTACTTGACCCGCTGGCAGCTTTCATTCTTCCAGCGCCTCAAGATGTCCACACTGCCGATCCAGGACATGGGGCTGATGCCGTCTTCGTACTTGTTGTCCCAGCGACCCAGCAGCACACCCTGGTCATCGTTGCAGTTGACCTGCAACCAGTGGGACATCCTGAGGGGACCGAGCATGGGTGACCGCTGAACTAGAGTGAGCGTGAGTTCAGCACAAGGCCAGAAGCAGGGAAGGGAGTTACAGGATGAGGGAAGAGCAGGTACCAAGGTGTGACAGCTTGCAGTATGCTGGAGTTGGTTGGGGGCCAGAGCCCAGGATGCAGTAGAGAGACAGGAGAGGAGAGGAGGGTAAGGAAGGTCAAGATCATAAACAGTTTGAGGGCTGGAGATGTGACCTTGTCCTATGAGCAGCAGGCTGCTTGGAATGGCATGACATGATCTGAGTTTTTTAAAGTACTCTCTGGACCCTGATGAGATTTTACCAAGATCTTCTTGAAAACCTCCCCAACTCCCATTCAAAACTCTCACTGCCGTCCTCAGTCGACGCTCTAACCAGGTTTTACAGGCTGTACATCCCTAGAAGAGAGTCCATCTTTTCATCTTTCTCCCACAAAACTCCCATCACCTCCAGGTAAAATCTAGCTTCCTGACTGTGGCCCATGAGACTCTGCCCGGCCTGGCCCCCTATCCGCCTCTGTAGCTTGTCTTGTACACACTGCCCTCACCCTACTGGCTTCCCTTCTTTTTCCCAAAGCTGCCGAGTCATTCCCTCCTTCTGGCCTTCACAGTAACGCTGGGCTCGGCCAGGCAGGTACATCTCCTCCCAATTACTGTATCTCCACCTCTGGGTGTGTGTGTGTGTGGGGGCTCCCTTAGCTCTCCGGAAGTGGGGTCTTGTGGTCAGAAGCTTTCACAATCTAGGTCTCTCGATCACACACGCCACAACCTCTGACCACACCTGTGATGGGCTCTTGCTGTTGTTGTTGTTGTTGTTGATTGCCATGGAGTCGAGAACGGCTCATCGCAACCCTATGAACAAAAGGCCTGAAGCCTTTCAATAACTATTGACATTTATCAAAGTTCATAGAGTTTCCAGAGGCATGTTGTTTAGGAAGTGGGGTTATTGAGGCTAATCTCTATCCCCCACCACCCACTAGCAGGTACATTCCACAGGGTGGTTGTTAGGCGTCATTAACTTGATACTATGCCTAGGGACCCTCTGAACAAGAGATAGGAACCCTGGCCTCTCCTGTGTCATCCTCACCATCTCTGACAGGACTGAGCCCATTGTTACAGTCACTGTCAAGATCATAGACATTTTGTACCCGCGATAGAGTACCTGGGATGGAGGCACCTTTGATAAACGCCTGCAGATGAATGAATGGGTTGCTTTTGCGTGAATCTCATCCCCCGCCCCCAAATACAAACACTCCTCACTGAAAAGGCTTGTCCATCTCCTGGGTGCCCCCATCATGCCCAGCAAAGAGCAAGGCCTCTGTCGTCACAGGAGGGAGCAGGCCAGCGGGACACACATGTGCCCTGACCCGGGGTGGGGGTGCCTACTCCTCACTCACCATGGCGCTCACCACCCGGCCCACGTAGACAGGGCTGTTACGACGGGAGCAGTCACGGCTGGCGTCCTTCAGGAACTTGGGGTTGACATCGAGGAGTGTCAGGCAGATATCCAGGATCCCGTCTTCAAACTGTGTCAGAGCAAATAGGAGGGCAGTGAGGGAACCTGCAGCTCGGGTGGGGTGTGTGTGTGGGGTGTCAGGTCAGATATCTCTGCTTTTTTTTTAAAAAAAAAATTGTGTGTGTGTGTGTGTACTGGTGGATTCAAACCACACACCTCTGGGATTGCAGTGTAGCTTCTTGCCACTAGGCCACCAGAGCTCACCAGGTATCTCTGCTTTATGATTCAGCCACTCTAGCTGAAAAAGGTGAAGCCTCACTTACCCACCAGGGGCTACTGGGGAGAAAGACGGGCAACCTCCTCCTGTGCAATTTATAGCCTCTGAAAGCCTGCTGGAGGGGTGGCTATCAGGCAATTCTGACTCCAGAGCAGTGAGTGACCCTGTTTAACTTCTTGTCACCACTTCACATATTCAGGGACTCTCCCATCTGTCTGCTACTCCTCAACCCGGGCAGGTAGCCTTGGCTGACCCATAGCTTTGGGAGAAGTAATAAACAGTTGTCATAGTATACATCTCTGTTTTGGGTTTATTTGCTACTCTGCAATGTTGTTATTGTTGTTGTATGCCATTGAGTCACCTGTGACTCACAGTACAGTATCTCTGAATCCTACCCTATCCTGAGCCTATCTCATCATCTCTGACAGACCTAATCCCATTTCTCAGTCACTGAGTCAATCCATCTCATCCAGGGTCTTCCCCTCCTGCGCGGTCCCTCCGGTCTTCCAAGCGTGATGTCCTTCTCCAAGGACTGGCCCCTCCTGGCCATCTGCCCAAAGTATGTAGCTAAACTTTTTCAAGCATATCTCTGATTCCCCCAAGGTGGTCCCTGCACCAGCAATACATCCCTGGGAACTTGTCAGAAATGCAAATTCTCTGGTATTACTTTAGACCAACAGAATCAGACATTCAGAGGTGGAACCTGGTATTCTGTGTTCAATACACTCTCCAGACAATCCTGAATTGCACTCTAGTTTGAAAGTCATGGATCTACACTATGGTCTAAAGCATATGCTATGTGATCTGACTACTCCTCTCCCCATGAATACCTGCCAAGCTCACAGTTCCTAAATACTCCCCTGATTCTTTCCCCATCTTGAACCTGGAGCTGTTGCTCAGATGGCAGACAGATCAACCCTAAGTGGTGTGACCTCAGGCCCAGACCCTCTCTGAGCCTCCAGCCATTTCAGGCCCTCAGTTTCTTGATAGCATGGGCTGGGTAGCCCTGAGGTTTTTTCACATCTTGCAGCTCTATCTGCCTCAGGCTCAAGGCTGGCCCACAGTAGGTCCTGAGAGGAAGGAGCAGGTAGCCTCACCTGTCCAAAGTTCCACGGTGTGCTCTTGATGAACCTGGCCGAGCCCTGGTAGATGAAGCCCTGCTGGGTGAGGACGTATTCCCGCCGCTCATCTTCCAACTCCAGGTACACCTCGTCAGCTGTGGGCAGGAAGAAAGGGGCCTCAACAATGGGTCTGGCAAGGCCCGGGGTCCCCGCAGACAGAGAAGACAGGGTACCCGCTCCCCTCATCTCAGAGCCCCAGTGACCCCAGTGTCTCAGAGGCCATTCTCTTTTATAGTCAGAAAAATCAATCAGTAATTAAGGATCCCATATCAGTGACATAAGGCATTATCAGATAGGATCAACAATGCGGTATGCAGATAACACAACTGTGTTTGCTAAAAGCAAAGAACAATTGAAGCTCTTACTGAATAAGAACAAAGACTATAGTCGGTATGGATTATACTTCAATATAAAGAAAACAAAAATCCTAACAACTGGATTAATAAGCATCACGAGAAAAAAAATATTAACACCGTCAAGGGTTTTGTTTTACTTGGATCCATGCTCAGTGCAGCCATCCAGAAATAAAAAGATGTATATAGCATTGGGAAAATCTGCTGTAAAAGACCTCTTTAAGGTGTTACAAAAGGAAATACGAGAAAATGAGAACTAAGGCACAGAGACTTGTACACCAATGTTCACAGCAGCGTTATTCATCATTGCAAGAACGTGGAAATAGCCCAATGACCAACCACAACGGAATGGATTTGAAAAGTTATGGTACACTCATACAATGGAATACTATGCAGCACACAGGAGCAATGATTTTGTAAATTACTACCTAACTTGTGTGGGACTGGAGAGCATTATGCTGAGTGAACTAACTCAATCTCGGAAAGACAAATACTGTATTAGACCATTTGTATAGAACAAGTACGAGGATCCAAGAAGGAGGAGGGGGACTTGGGGGAAGCGATGCTTAATTACAGGGTCACACAATTTGATGGGTTGGGGGAGAGATGGGTAAATGAAAGAGAAAAAATCCAGTGGGAAAAACAATGTATATGAACTCTGTAAGTAAACCAGTATAAAGTATTTTTTTCTTTTTTTTTAAAAAGGAAACACCTTGAGGACTAAAAGCAAGATGCACTAGACCCAAACGATGATTTTTCCAGTTTCCTCCTATTTGTAAGAAAGCTAATAATGAATAAGAGAGACTGAAGAATTGGGGCATTTGAAACATAGCTCTTTGGAAGAATATTGAATATATTATGAACCAGAAGGAAAAAACCCACAAATGTTTTGGAAGACGTTCAGCCTTACAAGCAAGGCTGGCGCGACTTTGTTTCCCATACTCTGGGCATGTTATTTGGAAGGACTCGTCCCTGGGGAACGACACAGTGCTTGGGAAAGCCAAAGGGCAGCAAAAAAGAGGAAGGTCCTCAAGGAGTTGGGCCACAATGGGCTCATGCGCAGCAGAGGCCGGTGAAGGGCTGAACGATGCTTTGTTCCATTGCACAGATAATGCTATATAAACGTGGGTGCAGACCTATAAAGAAACAAAAACTGAAGCTCTGAGTCCACGTGAGGAAGATCAAGGCCCTGCCCGTGCTCATGGCCTCAGCTCTGACTCAGCGCAGCCCTGCACAGCAGGCCAGAACCGACCCATGGAGTTTCCAAGGCTGTGAGTCTCTACAGATGCCAGCTTGCTACATCTTTCTTCCGTGAAGCGGCTGGTGGATTCGAACTGCCGAACTCCTGCCAAACATCCAAGAGCGTAAGCACTAAACCACCAGGGCTGTTGTGTGAATAAGGTCTGTTTTCATTCAAAGTGGAGAAAGTTCAGTGTAAGAAGAGGAGCCCAAGAAGTTAGATGGCAGGAGCCCCAGGGTCAGGCTGGCCTTTACCATCTCCACTTCACAGACGCAGAAACTGAGGAAAGGAGAAACCCAGGGCCACATGGGGGTTTTGGAGAGCCCTGAATATTTTTGCCTTTCTAAATGCCCCTTCTTCTACTAGAAAATAAATACATAAATAAACAAATAAATAAATAAAATTAATTTCTTTACTGCTACATTGCATAACGATTACTGTGTTTGCTAAGGTTGTTGTCCCTGTTGAGTTAATGCCAAATCTTGGTTACCTCCTGAGTCAGCATGGAACTGCTCTCTGGAGGGCTTTTCACGGCTGATTATTTTGTTTTTGGTTTTTGTTTTTTTTTTCTGAAATAGGATTACCAGGTCTCTTCTCTGAGGCTCCTGTAAGTGGACTTGAACCTCTGACCTTTGGGTTAGCCACTGAGCACATTACCCATTGTACCACCAGAAACTCCAAATATGTTGATGTTATAGAAGAAAACATACTCTTCAACTCAAAAGTTTCATTTTCCTCCTGAATATAAAATAAATGGATACAGGTCTTTGGGCTCCTAGTACCGTCCGGAGGGAGCTCTGGTAGCCCAAGTGGCAAGGAGTGGTGCTGCCAACACAGAGATCGATGCGATTCATTTAATAAGACACAGTGTACGGGAACGATCAAGGGGGTCATCCACCAGTTCCTCTGCAGGAGGAAGGTGGGTAAACTCCTCCCATGCGATTTATAGCCTCTGAAAATCCCCTGGAGAGTCAGCTCTGAGTCAGTTCCGATTCGAGGACACACAATGTTTACAAAAGCATCTGGGGCTTTGGACTCTGTCGACACAGAAGTTTGTCCTGGGAAACCCGTCTGTTCCCAGCAGGGCCTGGCCTGGATTGCAGCTGCCTACACCTCTCAGCTCCATTGGCCCTCCTGCAGTTGCCAGCACTCCCAATCCTAGCAGAGCCAGGAAAGGGAATGTGGAAGTGACAGCTCTTGATTCTGGGAAACAATGCTGCTATTTGCTCTTTGGTCCTAGACACTCTGCCATAAAGGTGAACCTTAAAATAAGTATGTCTATGAATCAGCTGGTGCGTGTGACAGAAAGAACAGAACAGAACAACCATTCCAGTGAGTGTCCCCTCCCCAGGGCCAGGAAGCCGGAGCTAGGACCTGACACACCTCAGGTCTCCGTGTGGGGAAGGTGGGTGTGTTAAGGATGAGAAGTCTTGCACAGAACTGGTGCTTCAATCCGTCTGTCTGTCTTGGAGCTCACAGTCAGGAGGGTCTAGTCTCAAGGCCAGATCCTGCCTGCTCCCACCCATTCCAGCAATTTCTTCTTCCAGCCCAGCTTCCTGCCTTAGCATCACCCGTTCCATCCTCTTCTCGAGGCTCCCGCCCTCGGGATATGGGTCACTTTAGTCATTGCGCTGCTTGGCTGACCGCCACCTCAACCCCGCCGGAAGGGAGGGACAGACTGAGCGGGAGGGAAGGGGACATCCCCCAGAATCTGCATGTTCATTGAACTCTGAAACCCCACAGTGCTGGTGAAGGTGGAGACGGGCATGTTCCTTCTCAGTGGGCTGGGCTGCCAGCTACTCACAGCCCCGTGCAGCGGGGTTACGACTCAAAACAGGTGCACAGCAGGGCCTGCCAAGGCCGCATCCGTGCCGGGAAGCCACTCCATGGGGCCCAGGACACGTGAGCAGTGGTGTGCATTGCAGAACCCTCTTTGGGATGAGCCACTCGGGAGGACCTCCTGTCCCGTCAGGCAAAGTCCAGGCACTTGGGGCTCTTAACTGAATGAGCAAGGTGGATGTGGATTTATGTGGAAAGATTCCTGAGGCATGTCAAGCCAGTTGGCAGTTTGAATCCACCCAGGAGGAGCTCTGTGGAAGAAAGGCCTGGCAGTATATTTCCATAACGACCACAGCCAGTGAAAGTGCCATGGAGCTCGGTTCCACGCTGTAACACACAGAGTCACCATGAACCAAAACAGACTGGACAGCATCAGGCTGGCTTGTTGCATTTTGTTTCAGACTGACACACGCTGGTGGCACAGTTCGTAGGCAGCTGTGATACTAATTCAACGGCTGAGCCTCTTTGGAGGTGGTTCGAATCCACCAGGATGTGGAGAAAGATAGGCTGTGAGATTTTATAGCCTTGAAAACTCACCCGAGGGCCAGCTATGAGTTGGCTCTGACTCCCCCAGCAATGAGAAAAAGGAGAGAATATGGACATGGATTCAGGAACTATGGTGGCATGGCGCAGTAGGTACTGAGCGAGCTGTTAATTGGCATGTCAGCGGTTTGAATCAACCAGCTGCTCCTCCTATAAAGATTTAGAACCATGGAAACCTGACAGTGGGTCCCAGAACTGACCCAAGGGCAGTGGGGTTTAGGTATACTATGTACTTTGTCCCTTTTGTGTTTACAAGAGAGACACTCATAAACATAGCCGTTTCTCCAGGCACACACCCACCACAGGATGAACCGGAGAAAGTGTTCTCCTGCCAAGTGGCTTACGGTGGTGTCCTTTGAAGAGAGGGAGTGGGTGGCCCAGCACTTGCATCTTTTTTAAAGGATGTGATGGCTTCGAGTATTACTGTTAGAAAGATATTAAAATTATGCAAAAGAAAAGTTTTTTTTAAAAAAAAAAACTTACAAAAACTTTTCTCCTTAAATGTACTAATTACAAAATGTCCCCAAAGACAGGAAAATAAAGCAGTGACATAGGATATAGCTTGTCTCTAAACTGGCAATGGCAGGGAGGTGACAGAGGATGCCCAGAGGGTCAGAATTTCCATCTAGATCCAGAGGCGGGTGGGTGGACCATTCCCAGGCTGGATCTGAGCCCGGATCTCTCCCTGCCTGGCTATGTCAGAGCAAAAGGAAGCAGAAACTATCAGCATGAACTGCCTTATCAGTTAAATGGGGAAACCGAGGCTCATGGAGCTCCTGCCTTCTTTCTTGCTCAAGTCAGCCTCAGCTCTTGCCAGCTCTCCCCTCGGACTCTCTGGCTTTCCCTAACCTTATTGATTTATTGAAGGAGCTTCCAAAAGCCACTTAACTTCTCAAGCCTCATTTTCCTGCCTGGGGAAGGGAACAGGATGCTGACAAGTTCCCCCTGGGATAGTTGAGAGAAATAACTGAGATGGAGTGTAAAGAGGTGCTTTGAGAAACAGATTCCTCTTGTCCATGTTTCCTGGACAGCCTTTACGCTACCTTCGGTTTCCACTTCCCAGACAAGTCAGGTGAGATTTAAAACAGAACAAAACCAGGACCTAGTGCATGGCCCCGGGCATTGGCTGAAATGAGCCATTCCTGGAATGAGCCTTCTGAACTCAAGACCCGCCCTGTCTCAGTTTAGTGTTAGGGGACACGTGCGCCCAGGCTCCAGAGGAACTGGGGTGACACACTCGGCAACCCCTGAGCCCTTGAGCATGTCAGCTGGCCTCCACAAGCCTGTTTCCTCATTTGTAAATTGGGGTAACAAGATGTTATGAATTGAATTTTGTCTCCTCCAATACCTGCTATAAGCCCTAACCCCTGTGTCTGTGGTTCTAATCCCATTGTGGTCTTTGTGGTAGGAAGAAGGCAAGGTGTGTCTTGAGGCAACCTCTTTCTGAGACTTGAACGAGATTAACCAAGCAAGCCCAGCCAAGATGGGGGCAGACAGATGCCATATCGCGAGATGATCTTCAAGAAGCCAAGGGACAAGGACCTCCCCTCAGAGCTGACCCAGAGAAGACTTCTCTTAGAGCAGGCCTCCTGAGATTGGACTTCTAGCCTCCTAAATTGTGAGGAAATAAATCTCTGTTTGTTAAATCCTCCCACGTGTGGTATTTCTGTTATAGCAACACTACAAAACTAAGAGCACTCAGATTTTGTGAAGTAGACACGATCTACTCTGATGTCTATTCTGTAGCTCAGGGTCTCTTTGGGGGTCTCTGCCCACCACCTCACACATCAGGGTGGGGTGCAGCTCACCTGGACACCAGGCATTGAAGAGCAGGACGAAACTGCACAACATGAAGCTGGAGCCCTGGTAGCCGGTGGAGGTCTCCAGGCGGAGTCGGTATGAGCCGACCGGGGCGTTGGCCGGGGTGCTGAACTGTAGCAAGAGGACATTGTCCTGCTGGTCGACCACCGCAGCCGCCCAGATGCCATCCTCCATAGCGTCAGACAACTGGAAACGGGCCTTGGTCCCACACTCCTCGCTGGGAGCTGGGCCTGTGGAGAGAGGAAGCAGCGGTGTGAGTGGAAGGAGGGAAGGGGTGAGGGGGCCAGGGCACACCCTTGGGCCCCGCAGTCTGGGTTCTCTATGTAGCCCCACCGTAAACCATTTGTAGGATTTTGTAAGATGTCTCACTTAGTTCCTTGTTGGTAAAGTGGGGATCAGAACCCCAAATTTGAAGGCTGTTTCATGGGGACGTACAAAAAACAGATAATACAGGTAATACAAGCAATGGGGCAGAGACGCTGCCGCACACTACTCTGTCTTGGTGTGACTTTGAACCTGGCCTTGAGGTCACTGGACTCACGTTGTCCATTCACACAGGGGTAGGAATTAGAACTGATGCTCCCCAAGGATCCCCCGGTGCCTAAATCCTTTCCCAGCCACAATCCTGCCCTCCTCTCTGGCAGAAAGGAAGACTGACTAGGAGAAGGCCCTGGCCCTCGGATGCTAAGACCTGGCCGTGTTGGCTGGCAAAGGGCACTGGCCAGAAAGCCTCTGGCATTTGTCTGCCCAGTGTCCCCTCCAGTGACATCTCTATTTCCAAAGGCTGCTCCTAACCATCCCGCACCTCCCTAAATATTTCCCACTTTATGAGTCCTGGAACTTCCTGCTTCCCTGAAGCCATTTAAAAAAAAATAATTTTTAAATTTTTTAAAAAATTATTATTATTAATTTCAATGAACATCTACAGAGATTTTGGAATTCCATTCATTTGTACAGACAAGAAGACTAAACTGAGGCTCCGTGAGAGGGTGGTCTCCCAACAAGACCCCAGGGTCCATAGCAGCCAGGCCTTTGGGCTCTATGCTCCTGCAGGTCCTCCACGAGGCCTCTGGATCCCAGAGGGCTCTTAATGAACAACCTGCCCCCAGTGCATCTGCAGGTGGAGGGGAGGGGAGGCAGGTCTGAGTCATGAGGAGGGCAGGGAGGGACCAGCACCCTTTTTGGACATGGACAGCAGAGAGGAGAACAGAGTGACTTCTTTGCCCGTTTGGGCCATTGCCCAGGAGGATTTATTTTTATTCTTTCATTTCCCTCCCAGCAGCTCTGTCTGTCTGCTGCTGGCAATATCAGGGCCTGCTCACCCAGGCACTCTATCCCTGCGCCTGGCCTGCTCCTCCCTGCCGACCAGCCCTACTTCACAGCCAGGCCCAAATATAACCATGAATTCACAAGGATGATGCAGGCCTCGGTGCCCTATCAGAATGCCAGGAGCTGACGGGAAGCCTTTAATCACTCCCTGACTTCCAGGTTTCAGAGGCTCAAGAGCCAGTCCAGGTCCGATTCTCCCTCTGCCTTTGAGCACTGCATGACCTGGGCCAAATCATCAGGCCTCCTTGGTCTAGAATTTTCTCATCAAAGAAGCAATTAGCTTAGACTACATGCTGTCAAGTTCTGGTTCCAGATCATGTATCAGCTGTATGATCTTGGACTGGTTAATTAGTTTTCTTGGCCTCAGTTTCCCCATCTGTAAAATAGGGCCAATCTTAATACCTCCCCATAAGGCTGTTGTGAGGGTTAGCGAGGTGCTTCAGGGCTCCTGGTGCAATGTCACTCTATTTGCAGGTTTTAATGAGGAGTATTTGGAGAATTTACAGAATGAAAAGGACAGCACATTTCACCGTTAGCCAGGACATGCCTCCCACCCTGCAAAGCGAGGCTCCTGTCCACAGAGTGATGTTCTGTCATACATCCTGGCTCACATCTTGAGAGGAGAGCGCCTGAGTTCCTGGCGACCTCGTACTAAGAAGCTGCGCTGCAATCCCAAAGGCATGCAGTTCAAACCCACTAGATGCTCTGTGGGAGAAGGATGGGTAATCTCCTCCTGTGCAATTTACTGCAGTTGAAAATCCACTAGAGGGTCAGCTATGGGTCGGTTCAAACTCAACGGCACATAATAACAAGAGTGAAATACCAATTAGACAGCCGCGTCTACGTGCCAAACAGCCTGTACAGAGAGAAGGCGGAGTGAAAGGGTGGGAAATTCAAGTGGAAAGTCCCTACAAGCAAGGAGCAGCACTTACTGCCCAGTTCTGTCTAGATTCAGTGGTATCCCTCCTCCTTTCCGCATTAAGATAAGCCTAATAGATCCTGGGCATCTCCTGAGGACAATCATCGCCCCTTTGGGCATGTTTCATTGCTGGTGAGTTGGAAATGACTCAGACAGAGTTGAGCCTCTGCTGGATCACTTAGGCAGTAAATCGGTAAATCGCCTGGGAGGATGTTGTTTATCTCTTTCCACAGAGCTGCTGGTGGAACTACCAGAGAGATGTGACCTTTGTGTTAGCAGTGCGACTCCCCGTGAACTTTTACTGTATGTCCACCAGCAGCCAGGGAGATGGTCAGGGTATAATTATAACAGTGCACCTGTGCATCTGTTGTTGTTAGGGACCCTCAGAAGAACGGCTCTGAACCCTGTCCTATCCTGAGCCAACCTCACCATCTCTGACACACCTGACCCCATTGCTAAGATTCACTGTGTTGATTCACCTCATCAAAGGTCTTCCTCTCTTGCACTGACCCTCCCTGGCAAAATAGTAAGTGCTCAGTACACAACAGTTACTATTGTTTATTGAAGGGAGTTCTGGTGGTATAGACTGTAGCATGCTGGGCAGCTAATTCAATGGCCATGCACGTCCAGTGGTTCGAATCCACTAGCAGATCCCTGGGAGAGAAATGGACAGTCCTTTGCCATTACGATTTACCACCTCAGAAACCCAATGGAGGATCGTCACTATGCAGTCAGAACCAATCTGACAGCAATAAATTGTTATTTTTTAAAAATTGTTTGTGGAGTGGCGAGCTCTGGTGGTCTAGTGGCAAGAAGCTGCACTGCAATTCCCAGAGGTGTGCAGTTTGAATCCACCAGATGTTCTGCTGGAGAAGGAGGGACAATCTCCTCCTGTACCAGTCAGATCTAATTTGACACACACACACAAATAATAAAAATTTAAAACAACAACAACAAACTATTTGTGCAGTAGCCCAGTTAGGAGGTTCGAATCCACCAGGCAGTCTGTGGTGGAAAGATGAGGCAGTCAGTCACTCCGTAAAGACTTCCAGGCTAGAAAACCTGATGGTAGAAATGACTTCAAGGCGGTGGGCGCAGTCTTTAATTTTGTTGTTTATTAAGCAGTTGCCGTGGTGAAGCACAGCGCTGCTATCCGACTGGTGGTTTGAACCCACCACCTGCTCCACAGGAGAATGATGTGGGCCCACATCTGTGGAGATCCACTCACTCACTCGCTGCCTCCGAGTTCCGAGGCTCAACCTCATCATGGAGGAGACGCCGTCTTTCTCCCTCCGATCAGCTGGGGGATCTGATCCATCAGAGAAGTGGACCTTTTGCTTGGCAGGTAACCGCCCTATAGACTAGGCCACCAGAGCCCCCCAGCCTTGGAAACCCTATGGGGACGTTCTACTCCATCTCGTCTGGTCACTGTGAGTCGGAATCAACCCAGCAGTGGGCGGGGTTTGGCACTGTTGACTGTTGTCACCACCACCTCCCTGCAAGGTTTTGAGGTTCACGAGAATTCATAGAAGGCACTTAGAACTAAAACCAACCCAACCCAAATGCATTGCCTTTCAGTGGGAACTGGCTCATAGTTGACCCACCCAGAGGGTGTTCAGGGACTGTAAACTGAATGGGAAGAGAGTGCCCACCTTTCTCTTGAAGAGCTGCTGGTGGGTTCGAACTGGGAAAGAAGCATTGCCTTTGGGTTAGCAACACAGCTCTCTCTGGACTACACCGTAGAAGGAGAGGCTCCAGTGAAAGGGAACACTGCTGATCAGAATTCTCAAGCCAATCATGGTCACACGGCCCTTAGTGGAATGACGAGATTGCCTACTTTGATGGCTTCACTTTAGAGCTATAGAAACAGAGGCTGGTGGAGGTAGTTGGAGTGATCACACACCCCGGTGTGTTCAGGCAGTCCCAGTGTTTGCCTATGACCAAGCCCCGGCGTAGTTATTAGTGGCATCCCTTTCATTACCAGAAATGTCCCTGTTTGGATAATCAATTCTCTGGTCACCATGGCAATGAGCCACGTCCTGGAGTCACTGTCACTGTTGACACACCACCCTTGGGAGGCAGGTCAAGAAACACATTTCCCTTTCTCCCTGTCATGTGGCAGCACTGGGAACACACCTACACACATGCTCCTTTCTTCCAAGGGACTAAGGAGGGTGGGACAAGGAGAGTTCAGCCACAAGGCCCACCACTGCTCACGTAAGCTGGCTTTGCAAATTCCTTGGCTGTGGTTCCATGCTGCGCTCTTGGTGGGGACAGGAGCACCTCAGGGACCATTCTGGGTGGAAATAACCCTGGGGACTATCACAGCTTCGTACCACAGAAACAGGGGACAAGGGTGTGGTGGTTGAGTGGAACCTTCTAGAGCAAAGCCATCTGTTAAACTCATAATCACTCTTTTCACTTCTCAAGCTGACCTCACTCCCTCTCCACACACACCCCAAACTCTGGCTGCCCCCGAAGGGAAGCTGAGCTTTATTCTGGCAACAAAGATGGTATTTATGTGCTGTGGGGTGTACCCTCTAAGAGAGACGGTTAGGTCTCGACCTCGCTGGGAGAAAGTACACAGCAGTTGGCTATGTGAAGCCAGATCACATCCAACATATGCTGAGTGATTGGCCCCCTCTCTGTCCTGGCCATGCCTCAGTATCCCTGAACTGGTCAAAGCTGGAATGTCCCCTTGCAGGGACAGACTGGGTACTGAGTGACAGTCCCACATAAGGCCCAGGCTTGCTCAGATTTCGGGTCAGGCCCTAGACCTTGAAGTGGGGGACTGGTTTCCTAGTATTGTCCCTCTGACTTCCCCAGCCCCCGGGGAGGGTCCTGGTTCCTGGAATCAGGAAGTCATGTGCACCCTCCCAGAGATACAGTCAGGTCAAGTTGGCCATGGTTTGAGATAAGTCAGTGGAGGCTGGAGAATAAAGATTAGCTGCTGGGTTGGGAAGGCCAGCGCCCCCACCACCCAACCCTCATAAACGAAAGTCTGGCCTCCTGGATGAATGGAGAAGAAGGAGAAAGAAGAAAGAGGGCATCTTGAGAGTGGAAGTTGGAAAAAAGATTGAGCATCTAATATCCCATTTCACAGAGGGAAAAACCACAGAGGCTGGAGGGCACTTGAGGCAACCAAGTAAATGTGTCTGCGTGGAGTCATAGCAAGGAAATTACCTCAACTTGGGGCTTGAACCCTGTCTGTCCCTAAGTCACCATGTGAGCAAAGAACCTGACCTTTCTGAGCCTGTTTTCCCGCAAAATGGGGCTCATTATGGTTCCAGGCTGGGAAGCCGCAAGTGCTCCCCAGATGTTGGTTGCTGCTTCCCCATCCCAACGTGACTCTCTGCAGGACTCACATCCAGCCCCTCATCACATCTTCCAACTTGGCATTTTACAGGGAGGCAAACTGAGGCTTGGAAATAGAGAGACCTATTTTGGTTCTTTGGCTGTTAGAATGGGCCCCAAGGTGCAGGAAGTGGGGTGGGGGGTTAGCAGGCGGAAAGGGGGAGGGAGGAAAAGGATGGAGTGAGACCCACAGCTGGCCTGCAGAAGCTGTGATAAGGCTTATCAAACCGTCTCCCAGGTAAACACAGCCTCAGCCAGGCCAGGCAGCTCCTGCCTGCTGCCCTCTCTGCCCTGGAAGCCTCAGAGTCAACCTTTCCATTCTTGGGCCAGAGATCCAGCCAAATGGCCCCTTGCTGACCTCAAGGGAGGCTCTCACCAGAAGCTGAAAGGACAGAGTCAGTATTCGAGGGCCCCTTCCCAGAAATGAAAGCAAGAGAGTCAGCACTGGGCATCCGGGGACAGGAGACTAGGGTTTCAATGTCCCTTCATTCCTCCCTAGACACAGGCAGCAACTGCTAACATCCACAGAGTCTCAATCTCTTTCCAGGACCATTTCACATGCGACCTTCCAACCTAAGAACTTTTCAGGTGGCGAATCTCCATCTCAGAGAGGCTAAGTAACTTGCCCAAGGTCACACAGCAGGTAGGCAGAGTGGTTCACACTAGAAACCTGGTAGGTCTAGCCTGCAGTCACTTTCCAAAACTGAGAGATGGAACAAAACCCCTGCTCAAAGCCCTGGGGCCAGCGGGGTGTTCTCCCAGCCACCCAAACCCAATCTGGGCCTGGTTCCAGAGACCCTGTCGGGCTGTGTGGATTTTGGAGGGACTGCTGATAAGAGGTCAGAGAGTTGTTTAGATGGAGAAGATGAGCCTGGAACTTGACGGCCTTCATAGAAGGAAGCTGACTCTAGTTCTGGTGATCACAGGCTTTCAGGAACCCAGGTGCTCAGGGACATAGTTTTGCCTTCAATGCTGGATGACCTAGGGTGATCGGGAAACCAGACCCATTACAGGATTCTGACTCATAACGACTCTATTCTCCCCCACTGCCATGAAGGCAGAACTGACGCATAGCTGACCCTCCAGCAGATTTTCAAAGGCTGTAAATCACACAGGAGGTGACTTCATCTTTCTTTCACAAAGCAGCTGGTGGATTTGAACTGCCTACCATTGGATTGGCAGTGCAACTCCTTACCCACTAGGCCCCCGGAGCTCTCTAGAACATGGTAAAGCTGCCCCATGGGGTTTCCAAGGCAGTAAGTCTTTTTGTGGATGCAGATTGCCACAGCTTCCCCCCACCCCCACCCTCAGAGCACTCGGTGGATCGAACACCAGTCCTTCTGTTAACAGCTGGACACCTTAACCACAGCACCACCAGAAATCTTCCCAGGGTGATAATGCTCTCCTATCAAGGCCTCAGTTCCCACATCTGTAAAATGGGGCTAAAGGCAATGCGACATATGCTATGCCTCTCCCAGGGGACAAAGAGGTGTGCAGTCATCTGTTCCAATCCTTGAGGGAGGACAATGAAGCCACAGAACAGGCCAGGTGAGCCTGGAAGAGGTGGGGAGGGGGACTCACCGGTCTCCACACTGAATGTCAGGCTGTCCACACTGGCCTCGTAGCCTCGGCCTTCAAAGTGTAGTGCCAGGCGGAAGGCCTGCCCACGTCGGACTACCAGCCTGTCCTGGCACAGGTCAGTCGTGTGGTGGTAGCTGCTGTTGGCCTCCAGCTCCAGGTCACATCTCTCCAGGACCAGCTCTACCAAGACAGAAGGAGGGAAATTAGTGGCACCCCCGATGATGTGCCCACACTTCCCACATGCAGGGATTCTCAGCCCTCCCAGCCCTGGGGGTCCCTAGACAAGGAGTGTAGACCCCTTCTCCCCTATATACTCACAGGGCCATTCTCTACCCTCCCATCCTTGATCTCCCAGCCACCTCCTAGCCTGAAAATAATTTAACAGGCATTTCAGCCCAGTGCGACATATGAACTCTTTTTAGATCTTAATTTTTTTATTAAAAACTTTAAAAAATACTTATGACACGTATGAGATATTTGGAGGAAAGGCCTGGTGGTCTACTTCTGGAAATGAATCAATAATGATAGTACCTGGGGAGCTCTGGTGGCCTAGTGGCAAGAAACTGCACTGCAATCCCAGAGGAACATGGTTCGAATCCACCAGATGCTCTGCTGGAGAAGGAGGTGCAATATCCTCCTGTACCAGTCAGATCTGATTTGACGGTACACGCACACAAAATAATAACAAAACAAAACAAAAAAATAATGATAATCCCTACGGATCATTATGGTCCGAACCCATGTGCACGATTTAGAGGTCCACTCTGTGAAAACTAACAATGCCAGACAACTGGGAGCATGGACAGTGATGGAATAATGAGTGGTATTAAAGGATTCAGGGAGTTCTTATCCTGTGTGTGTATGTGTGGTCTGTCAAGTTCATCACGACTCACAGTGACTCTATAAACAACAGACAGGAGCTGTTCCCAATCCCGCACCATCATCAAGATCTGGGCGGGCCACACTCAGGTCCATTGCTGCAGTCTTTAAAGACATTTCCTAAAAGTTACAGATGACCAGATACGATGTTGGGGTATCCTTTTGCAGGCAGCAGAAAGTCTATTGCTTCAGAGGTTCGCTGAGAGCCAGAGCCGAAAGAGCTGAAGCTGGGTGGGGGCAGCACAAAGCTTGGCAAAGTCAAAGCCAATGCTAAAAAAGCCTCAGGGCTCAGGGAGAAAGCAGGGCAGACTCTCGGACTTGCAAGGGTCGTTGGAGAGCATGTGTCCAGCGGAGGACAAGCTGGACCTTCCACTGTAGTGATGCCCAGGGCTCACTTTTCCCATCCTGGAATACCTCAAACGTGAGGCAAGCACAATGTCTTGGGAGACGTGGCAGACTTACACCCCACTTACACCTCTCAACATCTCTACTCTACAGGTCCTATCACCATCCCCATTTTACAGCAGGAGAAACTGAGGCCCAGGTCCTTAATGTAACAAGTGGCTACTTTGGGATTTGAAACTAGGGCTATGCAATTCTGGAGCCTGTGCTGGTAAAGCCCGCCTCTCTGGGTCTGTCTTCTATCCCTCTCCCCCTCACTTTCCTCCCTCCTGTCCACGGCCTGTGCTACCCTCCAGTCTGAGAGGAGACATTTCCTCATGTCCAAAACAGAGGAGAAGGTGGTCTACCTTCTACTGCAGCAGGAGAGACCTCAACTGGCCATGAGGAAGCACTTCCTGCTGGGGCTTTTTGGAACTTCAAACACGGAGATGTCTAAGCAGAAGTCACTGTGACTCCCCTGGGGGTCTGGATAGCTGGGCAGAGATGGCTAGTTTCTGGCGTGGGGCACCACGAAACTTTCCCAGGCTGTTGTCTCAGGCAGGTTTTCTGGGACCCCTGGGCTACCTCTAGGACACAGACACCCTGACGTCCAGAAGCACAGATTTTTGCACTAAGAAAGGACCTAAGGTCTGTAGGTCAGTAGGATCGATGTTGGGAGTGACCGCTGCAGGAGACTTGTCGTGACAGGGTCTCTAGACCCACTGGGCCTCACCCCAAGATGGTTTGCGACCTCTCCCAGCACTCTGGGGATTTGAGGTTTGGAGAGGGATTAGGGAGATGATATCACATAGCAGGTCAGACCTGGTTCTCCCCAGGTACCTCTCCAAATTCCTTCAACCCTTCAGAATTATAGTGGACTTGACCCACAAGCTTGCTGAACCCTGGGTGTGACAGCAACAGCTCCATGGTAGAAATGCCCTCCTCTGGACCTAGGACAGAGTTGTGTGTGTGTGTGTGTGTGTGTGTGTGTTCTTTGCCCTTCTCAGCCCTCACCATGTACCAATTGTCCCAACTTTACAGGAGAGGAAACAGATAAGCAATTGCTCAAGGGCTGGCCGTGGCAGAACTTATAACAACAAGAAGGAATCTGCCTAGTGTCCGCCCCTCATCCATAGGATGCCAGAACTTCGTCTCTGGTGCCTGGATCCTGGCTTGCATGCCTCCAGGGACAGCAAGCTCATCCCCTCCAGGCTGGCTGGGACTAATCAAAGATCAGATTAGGACCTCCTCTGTAGTTTCCACACCTGGCACCCAGCAGGGACTTGTTCTCACCAATTTGGATAAATCACAGCTGTCCTGTATTTTACGGTTTACAGGGCGCCTTGACTTCCCTTTCTGCTTCCTCCTGGGCTCCAGGGAGACAGGGGTTAATGATCAAGCCCCAGAGAGCGAGGAAACTGAGCCTCCAAGCCGCGCTGGGACCTTTGAGGCGGCTCACTTGAAAGCGGAAAGGGCTCATCCCGCCTGTTGCTCTTTGCTCTCCGACACTGGACCTCGTGCATCGAGCCCAGCCCAAACCAGGGCAGGCCCGGGAGGCGCGGCCAGACCCGGGCTCCGAGCGGTGCCGCTGAGCCCACACTCACCCTCGGCCATGGTCAGGCGGCGGCTGGACACGGGATCGTCCAAGTGCTGACCTCCAAGTGCTGCCCGCTAGCTGCCCGCGCTGCTGTGAGTTGAGCGTGGCCTTGACTTTTAGTCCTCTTGGGGCGGGGCCGGGGCGGGGACACGAGGGGAGGGCCTGGCGGACCATCCCTGGCCGGTCTGGGGTCCACGCCCCTCGGGCTGGGACCCACCCCGGGGCCGGAGCCCCGGGGAGGTGGAAAAAAAGAGGGAGGAGAGATGGGGGAGGGGAGGAAGGGAGAGGGAGGGGGAGGGAGGGAGCGAGGGCCGAGCGAGGGCGCCCCCTGGGGGAGCCGAGGAGCCACGGCCTGGGTCAGCACGAACAGGACACACAGACACCTGGACAGTGACACCAACACAGAATCGACAGGATACGGACACGGCCAGACTCCCAGGGACAGATGTTTGCTTGGAGTCGTGCCCAGAGGCGCCAGGACTCACAGACAGGCCAGACAGACTTCACAGACACCCTTAGAGGTGCTGGCGAAGGAGAAGACGGACATCTCCTATATGATTAGGTATTTATTGTTATGACAGGAGTCCAGAATGAAGGCTGCATAGTGGAGTGGACCTGGGGGGAGGGACTGTAGAACAATGAAAGAATTTTTCTTTTTTTACTTTTCCAAGAGAAGAGTGAATTGGTGAGGAGAAGTGGGCAGGGAGAAAAGTGCAACAATGAATGAATGGAAATCCAAAGTCTCTGTAAACTTTCATTAATTTTAATTAAAAAAAAAAGACACCAAAAAACCTCACTGTGGCAAAGTGATTCTGACTCACGGCGACCCTCCATAGGGTTCAGAGGCTGCCAACCTTAACAGAAGCCCATCACCCAACTTTCTCCCAGGGAGATTCTGGTGGACTCGAACATCAGTCTTTTTGGTTAGCAACACAATTCATTACGGGCTGTGCCACCAGAGCTCAGAAAGACACATCAAGGTGCAAATATTGAGACACAGACTGACATTCCCAGGCATACTCGTGAATGGGCTGGCACACACATGCGCAGAAACAGACAGGCATGCCCACACCTCTTCCCTCAGTCTGAACCGAAACAATTCATCCACCCTATCATCTGTCCCATCCTCTATCCGTCTTACCACCTATCCATTAACCCACTCACCCATCCATCCATCCATCCATCCATCCATCCATCCATCCATCCCTCCTCCCTCCATTCACCTCCCACTCATCCACCCATACATCCATCCAGCCATCTCATCATCCATCTACCTACCCATCCACTGTCCATCACCCATCCATACATACATTTATCCATCCATCTATCCATCCAACCACTGACCTTCCTTGAAGCCACCTTGCCAGGAGGAAGCAGAACCACTCTTTTACGGACCCTTCTAAGGCCTCTGACATTTTGATCCCAACATCCATCTCCTACCCTTTTCCCTTTGCTCCTCTCCCTCCTCTGGTACCTGCAGTGATGGCCTGAGAAAGAAAGACTGAAGGACTTGGACCTCAGAGAGAAACGGTCAGCATGTTCTCAAAGAAGACAGTCAGGCTTCAGGCTCTACACGCTGCAACATCCCCACAAGTGTCAGCCTTGCCTCAGAGACAAAAAGGGTGGATTTTGTCTTTGCTCGTCATTTGCCGTTTGAAAACAACATGCTCTCTTCTGCGTGGTGCAAGTTTCCTTAATAACCCCAGCCTGGGACTCGCTGGAGGACAGAAAGCCGCCTGATTCTTCATACTCTTCTCACAACAGTGCTCCCAGGCAGCCCCAAGAAACGGTCCAAGCAAAAGATCAGCAAGGTTCTTACCAGCATCCTCCTCACAGTACTTCTTCCCCTAGACCTAGACTTGACTTCTCTAGTGGGTACACAGACGGTCCTGAGTTTGAATCCTGGCTTTCTTGTCATGTAGGCTCGAGCAAATCACTCACCCTGTCTGTGCCTCAATTTCTTCATTTGTAAAATGAGAATAATAATAGCAGCCCCTGCATAGGGTGTTGTGAGGGCTAAATGAGTTAATTTGTGGGGAACAAGTACATAGAAGAGTGAG